TAGCATTATCCATCCTGCAAAAATGCTGTGTGGAATGATAGCTATCTCTGTTGCCTTTGGCCTATTCTACTATGTCACAAACACAAAACGATCTGCAACACGTTTTAAACAGGACCACCCTGTTATTAGCTTGACTGTCATTTTCTCAGGTAATATTTTAGGAACAAAGTAATTTTGTCAAATGTGAAAGTGAAAAGTTCAAGAAATGTATAAAGGTATACATGTTCACTTTAAAGATTATATGTACATTTTACCAGCATTCAGGTATAATTTTCAAATCATTAAACTTAACTGATACATCTTTTAGGAAATATTTGTGTGATAATAATGAGGTGATTTTTCTCAGCTAACATCTAAGAAAAACATGATAGGTGAATATGGATAATTAAAACCTTTTCTTGACAATAAAAGCTTAAGTGATGTAAAATAAAAATATAATTATTTATTAATTATTATAGTTTTTGCTTTTGTTAATTACCTTTTATATGGCTTTTTGCCTTAGTTTTATTTCAAAATGAATGTTCAAATGATGTTTGACCCACTAAGCACATACACTAATGTTATGATTCGTATTATGGTAAAGCTTATCCTAAAATTGTTTCTCTTATGTAACTTTACAATTTCATATTCTCTGTTTTAGCTTTATATCTTTGATTTTTAATTGCAAAATCTAATTATAAAACTTTCTGAATAATATGAATTATTCTGCATATCATTATGAGAACCTGGTCTTGAAATATATTTGAATTTTTTTAACAAAGCTTTAAGATTTTTCATTGATGTATTACAATATTTATTTATATTTCATCATTATTTGTATATATTCCATCATTTCCAATCCCATTTAGTTACCTTTGGATAATTTTGTTGCTCTTTAAACAAGTAATTTACCCAAAATAAACTATTAGGTACCATAATCAGTTTTACTACCATTGTATGTTTGTTCACTCTCACAACTCTAACATTAAATTTTACTTTTGTATCATTATTCTGCACAGATTTGCTTTTGAAATGCACATGTAGTACTTTTAAAAGTTTGGGTTGTTGTTGTAACAAAACATCTTATTGTTATTATATTTTATGGGCCAAATATGGCTTGTGGACCATAGTTTAAACACTTCAGCTATTAAGTTATTGAATAGTAAAAAAATGTTATTTTTTGAATGTACAAAATCAGTTTTTATGTGGAGTTAAAATATTTTTTACATTGGTTTTATTTAACTTCAAACACATAAAAGACCATTAAACAGGTATGCTGCTGTTATAAACTTTTGTCTATTTCAGGTGGTTATTTCATTGTTTACATGTTGGGAGCTGTGATTGTATTTCTTTTTGGGATTGGCCTTCCATTGTTGTGTAAGTAGTTGCTTTGGAGGTTAATATAAAAATAGTTTATATTGTATTTCTTCATCCTGTTAAGCATGTTCCAAATGATTATATCATTGTTTGTTATAGTGTGATTGTACTTGTTTTGAGAGAGAGGATGGATAAAATATTTAAAATTCTGATTAGTGTATCATAATTGATGTTGGTCAAGTGGAAACTATTGAAGTTGTGTTTCAACTAATACTCAGTTTATACTGGGAATTAATTATACTTTATAAAATCAATGTTCCAAATTCTCATGGCTGTCCTTGGAACTATTTCCACCATTGTCAATTATGTCAGTCTGATGATCATGAGTGCGCATCATTGCCCAACATCTCGTACAGTGAAGGTCCCATAGAGAGCTTGTTAAAATCTACAACCTGAAATAAGGTATAAGCAGACCAAAGGTACACAAGTCTATTAGAGTTGCATTGGAGAGCATATATGTGATTGCTGTGATTCCAGTTTTTTTTTATTCATCTTCTTTATTGAAATAGTTATTGCTTTCAACATTTGGCTGAAAACTTATGAACTTACCTTTGTAAACTACAAATACTTCTTGTTGTTTTGTTGTTAGCAGTAACAGGGATTTTTTCACATTCCTTATATTACCATTACAAACTGGAGGATCCACTTTTTTTTTAACCACAACCTTTGTTCTATGGATAATGGAGCTGCTGTGCATTGATTTGATATGGAGCTTCAGAGCCTTTGCTGTCCTAAATGCTCTGCTGTGCAATATTTTACATTTTCACAGAGTACAATAAAGGCTCTCTTCTTTGAAATGTTGTATCCTTTTGGTTCTGCTTCATTTAGATATCTCACTTTATGGATGTCTCTCTTGAATGGGTCCTCATATATCCTCCATTTTAACCAAATTTTAACTGGTTGCATTGCACTGTTCAGTGGTTTGAAATTTGACATGAAAGAAATATATATAGACTTCAAATATGTTACTCATGACACCACTGTATGCGAGTCACTAATGTAGTATAAGGAAATTGTTTTTTATAAAGCACTATTAATTTTACGTATTTAGATTTTTCCATCTAAAATTTTTGTTATAAGCTAATCATATCTTGGTTTCATTATGTATTAGTATGTTTGTGAGATATATTAGAAAATTTGGCAAGTGCAATAATTATCCAATACTGGATGTTAGGCAACCCAAGTATTAAAAGATGTTAATGAAATTGTTAAAGAACATGAACATGTCTTAACCATTTTTCTAATCTGTTTGTAAGTGATGATTATTCATGCATCCATGAGATCACGCAACTTGAGGAACAAGCTGACAAACAAGATCGAAACTGTAGGTCTACGTAAGACTCCTATGGGAGTATTTCTAGAAGCTTTGGGACAAGAACCAGACCTTGCAGTGTAAGTTTAAAAGAAATATCAGTTAAGAAAGTATCCATTTCCTTTTAATATTAGTGGTATGTAAAACTACCAAAGAGTCAGTAATTCATTGTGAAAATTATATAAGCTAGCAGAAATTCTGCCCTATGGGCAGCTGTTTGAGCTAATAATTACTAATTGTAGTATTCGTACCTCATTAAAAAAAATTTAGAAAAAGTGAACATTTTCTAAAAAAGGATTTTTTGTGAAGTACTGCATGGGAAAAGTGTTTGGATTGTGCTGATATAAACTGTTTTTATGTATTTTTGTTTTTGGTACCATTCGATAGATGGCACCACATTGTATTTATTATTTTGGCTATAGATACATATATACATGCTACATCTGTTATAGTAAGAAGAGAAAGTGTGGTGGCTTGGTAAGTTTCGTCGTTGAAGAAAGTGCTCTGCAACCAGCATCTAATCAAAAAGCCACAGCTCTGGTTTTATAAATCTTTAAGTTATCTGAAAAAATTGAATAGCTGTTCTTAGTGATGAGAAGTCCAAAAACAAAGCTTTGGTTACTTCTTTTACCTTCTTAGACATTTTCTTGATGTAAAAATCATTGAGAAGATTCAGCAGTATGATTTTGAAACATTTTTGAATGTATATTTTTTTATTTAGAAATTTACAAATTAACATAGTATCGAAATTAATAATAAAATTTTAAGTTTGTATGAAAACATTTTTA